GTAGAGGTAATGGTAATTGATATACAGTAAGAAATCCTTTACCCTCCAGTAACGAGGAACGATGCTTATTAATTTTATATCAGTTACCGTTACCTCTGGTAACGGACAACGATGGTAACGGTAACTGGTAATTGTCACAGCCCTATCCTAGACACGCACTATTAAAAACATTTTCATCACTTCAGCATACATCTTCCCATCCTGATAAGCTTTTAGACATTTCCAAAATCTTCTCACTAACTTCACATATATTTGTTTCTGATGAAAGAATGTCATAACGATTGAAACGCTTATAGAAATAGTAAAACCTAAGGAGATTAATTCTCGATAAACTTTTTTATAGCCAAGAGAGCAATTCACTCGCGTACAGCGGTCACCTGAGTGACACTTATAGACAATACTTTTCAACATAGTTGGACACGTCTGATCCGACTTATTTCTTACAAATTGTTTTTGAAAATACCGCAATCCTTCGGTTATATTCAACTCGCAATGGAATTTTGGAATGATTTAGATCGGAAAAAATCCTCTTTTTCTTCTCTTTTCTGACACTAATCCTCTAAAAAAAGGTTTAGAGAATGCTCTCATGTCCTCTTTTTTCAAAATGACAGTTCACAAGCCAGCCACAAGTGAAATTTTTATTTCTGCTCCGTCTACTCAGCGAGCGTGATCGGGTTAGCGTTGATCTTATCGATCTGGTTGATCCGATTGTGCTACAGCAGATTATGTAAAAGCGATCAGAAAAACGAGCAACGTCAAGAACACAATGAAAAATGCATCTCTTAGATGTACTTTTGCTTATTATTCGTTGTGTCATTTCTAATTTGTATGCTTAAAGGAAATCTCATTTAAATATCTCCTTGGACATATCGATAATGAATATTGTGTAGGCGAGTAGCGTTAATTTATCATATTTCTGTTTTTCTCCACTTTCGACACTTGAGAAAAGTAGAACACGAGTGTCGGTTCGAACGTAATACTTGTGTACTGAACGTTGTTAAAACTGAAGACATTTGCTAATTTGTACACATCCTTTTAAAGTAGTTTCACCGTCACCTTATAAATGCTCGTTGTGGATCAATCCAACTCGTATCATCTTGGTAAACAAAATGTGAACTGAGAAAATTCACGATTGTGTAAATTTAAAACAGAAAAATAGATCGTACCAGAGATGTAACCGGTACTCGCATTTTTCGCATTTCGCATTTTATTATTTCTCGAAAAAGTATACAAAAGCCAAAAAGCCATCAAAATTTTAATTGTAAATCGCAGTTATACTTTTTACGTGTCCTTAATCTACACAATCTTTTTAGATAATAAAATAATATGTAACGAAAGAGGGTGATCGAGCAAAAATAAAATTTCACTTGTGGCTGGCTTGTGAACTGTCATTTTGAAAAAAGAGGATTAGTGTCGAAAGAGAGGATTTTATCCATCTAAGAGATGCATTTTTCATTCTGTTATTGACGTTGCTCGTTTTTCTGACCATCGTTTGTTGTTTTTTGACCATCGTTTCGGATAGTGGATCACATTTGAGCTATAAATACGTTAATTTTGTATTCTTCTCAAACATGTCTTTAATATCTAAAATAGTTGGTTTAACAAAAATTTGAACAAAATGGGTACGTTTTTTGCCGCTGATGTTCTCAACTGCCGACTGTATCTTATCAGTTGACTCTATCTCGTCAGTTGACGTTCTCAACTGCCAAAGTTGAAATCCACTTATCGAAGAATCTTAAATGACTAAAGTCTTCGTCTTTTTCCGGTAAAGCGTTGACCTGCATGAACATCTCTCGTCAATCAAAATATTTTGAGAAATTTACCTGTTGTCTGCGTTATTCTGCTCGTTCTAAGCCCCTTTTTTTTCTTTCGCATGATTTTTCTCAGTGCTTTTCGGTCTACAAGTCATCATACTTATACTGAACTACACTATAACGACATCGAACGAGATAGTTTTTTACTTTGACACTGTTACACGGCTTGACAGCAAAGTTTTGATAGATTGATGCAAATTGTTTCGCCACGTTTACAAATTTTTTATTAGCAGCACATTTTTCTGGTCTGTAAGGATTTGCGTTAGTGGAAAAGATGGTTCTGGTTAAATGAAAACTGAAATCCACTAACTCTTTCATGCACTGTGTTGAATATGATAGGCGAATTTGTCACAAAAATATGAAGAAGACGAATCACATAGTTTTTGCATTGATTCTATCTGCTCTCGGATGATAACATCATCAGTGAAAGATCAAATTGTTTCCTTATTGCGATAAATGTAGCACCTCAACTCACAAACCATGTGAAGCTGACTCGAACCAATAAAATAATCTTATCGCCTTCGTTCTTTCCCGTCTCTACATTTCATTCAAAGGTAAATAAGTACTTCCTTTCTCTCAGGATCTACTAATAATATTACGGTTCATATTTTCTTTGATACTTTGTTTATGTTCAAAAATATTGGAAAACTATACGGACTACAGTAAAAAAAATCGACGTACAGGTCCACACAGTTCATCTCTTCTTATTATTAAACAGTCGGCTTTTTGGGGAGCGTTTGAAATAGGAATTTACATGCCTTTGCTGCATTTTGTTGTGTTTTCATCTGTTTAAATACACTATCGAATACATTCCGATCATTTGCATTCAATTTCTGGAGAAACCCTTCTATATCCTGAATCATTTTCAGCATTTCCATCTGACCGTCATCGATAGTTGATCTTTCCCCAAGGATTACTTCCGGACATATCGGTTGTATTGCAGTTACTATGGCTCCTGCCATACCAGCATTAAATGGTTGACGTTCTTGTTCACCAAATCGACTGACAATTTCAGTAAATTGATTCCCTAAGTCATCGTCGACACCGAACATTGTGAAAAAGAATGGTAATGCTTCCGTGTCCGACAATGCTCGTTTTGAAAATGACGATGATGCTAGTGACAGCCATTGTGCAAAATCTTCGTTTCGTGTTCGTTGATAATCATCGTCGTCATCGTCGAGTACGAAACGACCGTTGATTTGACTGCTCAGGAGAACAGTTATAATGATTAGTACAATGAGCGAATTCATTGTTGCTGTAGTATTATTACTTCCGATGTGCTTGTATGTATGTGAGCTTAGAGGAGATAGAGTGAATGTATGACTGATGTTCTTTCTGTTTATTTAAGTTTTATGTGTTACTGTCGATGGTAATCTTTCTATTTGTGTGATTGTTAATGTTTGTTCTCAACAGCCTCCTTCGAGGGAAATATCTTTTCAAGTATTTGGTGATAAAAAATAATTATTAATTAAAAAATATCATGTCAATACAAAGAAAAAAAGAGCCAGATAGACAGGAGTGTAGAATGGCAGTGTTATATGTAAAAGACGGTAATTACCGTCTCAGATCTATTTTGTTAAACAGAATAGATCTGACTCTAACTTACAGAAAGCAACAGTTGTGTTTCTAACGATAACACAAGTAATCAGATTGTTGTTGTCTGCTTTACTGTTCGACGAGAGACATTAAATCAATTTCTGACGGTTAGCTGTCTTTGTTACAAACTTCAAATAGGCAGGATGAAAACGTTTAGAAGTGGTAAAAGTGTCAATGCATAACTGTAGACGGCTATTCGCCGAATAATGACAGTAAAATATCGGAGAATGTACTTTGTGTTAGGAAAATACGTTATCGATCTGAACTTTTTCAGGCGGCCAAGATATGCACCTTTGACATTCCATACACAAATCCCAGGAATTTTATCGGAATCCAGTTAGTTTTCAATTTTCCTGTAAAGTAGCACCACACTGCGATTGAAGTTTTGTAACTTTTTTAATAGCATAACGTAAAATGTTGTTGAAAAAGCGAGCATTTGGCACTATACAATAACTATGGGCACATATACTATGAAATATGCGTCTGCTAGGTACAATGGCTCTCCACAAGTATAACAATGCAAACCGGACACAATCTTTCCTGCATCCACTGTATTCTCGTGAATTACGCTCGTAGAGCGTGCTGTAAGCTATGTACTTATCAAAGATTTCTTTCCGTTTCAGAATTATGAGAGAATGGTACCTAGAAACTTGTTACCACTTCCATCTCTTTCATAAAAGCGATGACAAGAACAAAAAACTTGGAGTCGGAACCTGTAGCGGAACGCACTCAAGACTGACCGCGAGCCGCATCTAATAGTCGTCCGACGTGCCGGGTTGGCTAGTTGATGTGGCGAGAAAGTCGGAGAGCCGCTGGTATAGCTAGCCGGCCACGCCGGCAAGATCTCTGAAAATAGATTATACACATCAGAAATCTCAAAGCACATTATTCACCAAGGAATTCGAATACGATGAAGAATGGATGAATGCGTAAACTTCCAGTGTTTTGGATTTATGGTTGCCACACTTGATACATAGGGCGTTGAAATTGAGGACGCTGACGCTGTGGATGAATTAATCATGATGGATACCGTCTTTCACACACACAAGCATTCGATACTCGTATCCATCTGTCTTATTTCTTGCTCTGTATGTGCACATAAATATCTTTTAATTGATAATTATTCTTGAGTAAATGTACTTTTGATCACCAAAAAAAGATACTTTTGATCACCAAAAAAAGATACTTTTGATCACCA